TCTGGGGGCTGGAAAGTCGTGCCCTGCGCATTCTCCGCCGCCTGCCCCCGCCGCTCATGCCGCTACTGCTGGTCCTCCTCCTCATCCTCATTATCCTGCCCGTCTTTTCGCGCCATTCTCAAAGTCTTTCCCCATCGCCTCTCCTGTCGCTACTGCTGGCACTCCTCCTCATCCTTATCCTCCTGTCTCCGCGCCCTTACAAAGCTTTCTCCCCTCCCCTCCACCTTCCCCGCTCATCCTCCTTACCTTCGTCTCTCCCCGCTCCTCAGCTTGGCACCCATCATCGATGCATTCGGAAGCTTGCGGTGCACAAGTGCGGTCGTCTCTCTGTCTCTGCCCCTCCCCCTTTCTCCTCCTCCTTCTCCTCCTCCTCCTCCTCCTCCTCCTCCTCTCCTCCCCCTCCCCGTCATCCTCCTCCTTCTGATCATCATCATCATCATCATCATCATCATCATCATCATCATCACCACCATCATCATCATCATCATCATCATCATCATCATCATCGTCATCACCATCATCTTCATCATAATCATCAGCATCATCATCATCATCCTTATCATCATTATTATCATTATCATTATCATCATCATTATCATTAGCATCATCATCATCATCATCATCATCATCATCATCATCAACACCATCATCATCATCATCATAATCGTCAGCATACATCATCACCATCATCATCATCATTCTCCCCCTCCTCCTCCTTCTCCTCTTCCTTCTCCCCATCCTCCTCCTTCTCCTTCTCCTCCTCGTCCTCCTCCTCCTCTTCCTACTCCTCCTCATGCTCCCCCTTCTCTTTCTCTTCGTTCTCCTCCTCCTCCCCGAACTCTTCCTAGTCCTCCTCCTCCTCCTCCTCCTCCTCCTTCTCCTCTTCCCCCTCCTCCGATGCCAACCAACTCGGACGAATCCAACCCATTCAGGGCTCATGCCGATTCCCCTGATTCGGTTCGATTCGATTTCGATGGATTCCGATTCCGATTCCGATTCGACCTGGGATTCCAATTTGGGTTCTGATTTTTCACTTGAAGCATACAAGCCTGACGATTTCCGCCGATTCGACTTTTTTCCGACTCGGCTGCCGAATTCCGCCGATCCGATTCATGTCGATCGCCGATCCGACTTATCAATTCGATTGTGGGTTCTCCTGGCCATTTTGGAGCAGAGCCCGAACAGATTGTACCGGTCCCAACCTCGAAAGGTCGGTCATCTTGCGCGTGATAATGAGAATGAGAGTCTGAAGTTGACCTGCACCTGAGGATTTGGCGTTGTGTTGTCCGGCTGCGTGGACCCAACTATCTCAGAAGTGTCCTATATTGGGCAATCGTGTTTTTTCTAGTTGGTTTCTGCAAGGTCCCTTTACGGAGCTCATGAAGTCTGGATGAGAACGTAGGAAGTTTCTCTGATTACCTAACAGCGAAGACTGATAGGTTTCTAGTGGGGTCAAAAGAAAGCATCCTGATTCCCCAGGGGGGTCTGGGCAGGATCCGGGGGATGCCGGGGAAAACCGGGGACTCCCCATTTTGATTGCTACGAACCACATTTTGACTGCCCGGAGCCAACAGAACACCATTCCCAGGCCACATTTTGAATGCCCGGAGCCAACTGTAGGCCACTTCGTGTTCTTCGTGCTCCCAGAACACCATTCCCAGGCCACATTTTGAATGCCCGGAGCCAACTGTAGGCCACTTCGTGTTCTTCGTGCTCCCAGAACAATTCCCAGGCCACATTTTGAATGCCCGGAGCCAACTGTAGGCCACGTCGTGTTCTTCGTGTTCCCAAAACACCGCTCCCAGGCCACATTTTGAATGCCCGGAGCCAACTGAGAGCCACGTCGTGTTCTTCGTCTTCCCAGAAAACCATTCCTGTACCATATTTTGATTGCCCCGAGCCAACTGTGGACAACTTCGTGATCTTCGTGTTCCCAGAACACCAGTCCTGTGTCATATTTTGAATGCCCGAGCTGAGGCAGGCTGAGGCCGAGGCAGGCTGAGGCCGAGGCAGGCTGAGGCCGAGGCAGGCTGAGGCTGAGGCTGAGGCACGCCGAGGCAGGCTGAGGCTGGGGCTGAGGCAGGCTGAGGCTGAGGCAGGCTGAGGCTGAGGCTGACGCAGGCTGAGGCAGGCTGAGGCTGAGGCTGAGGCAGGCTGAGGCTGAGGCCGAGGGCTGAGGCTGAGGCTGAGGCAGGCTGAGGCTGAGGCTGAGGCAGGCTGAGGCTGAGGCTGAGGCTGAGGCAGGCTGGCTGCAGGCTGAGGCTGAGGCTGATGCAGGCTGAGGCTGAGGCCTGAGGCTGAGGCTGAGGCTGAGGCTGAGGCTGAGGCTGAGGAGGCTGGCTGAGGCTGAGGCTGAGGCTGAGGCTGAGGCTGAGGCAGGCTGAGGCTGAGGCTGAGGCAGGCTGAGGCTGAGGCTGAGGCTGATGCTGATGCTGAGCAGGCTGAGGCTGAGACAGGCTGAGGCTGAGGCTGAGGCAGGCTGAGGCAGGCTGAGGCTGAGGCCGAGGCAGGCTCAGGCCGAGACAGGCTGAGGCTGAGACTGAGGCTGAGGCTGAGGATGAGGCCGAGGCAGGCCGAAGCTGAGACAAGGTGAGGCTGAATGGGGGGGGGAGGGGGGGGGGGAAGGGGGGGGGGAGGGGGGGAGGAGGCGAGGAGGCAGGCTGAGGCCGAGGCAGGCTGAGGCCGAGGCAGGCTGAGGTCGAGGAGGCTGAGGCTGAGGCTGAGGCTGACGCTGAGGCTGGGGCAGGCTGAGGCTGAGGCAGGCTGAGGCTGAGGCTGACGCAGGCTGAGGCCGAGGCAGGCTGAGGCTGAGGCTGAGGCAGGCTGAGGCTGAGGCCGAGGCAGGCTGAGGCTGAGGCCGAGGCAAGCCGAGGCTGAGGCTGAAACTGAGGCAGGCTGAGGCATCCGTAGGAATCCATGGCATCCTTAGGAATACTTAGGAATCTTTAGGATTCCATTGGGTCCTGAGGCCGTTGCCACTGCGACTGTCATTGCGAATGCGACTGCGACTGCAAGAACAGCAGAATTCTACAACTGGATTCTCACCTGAATCGTAAGGGGGATGCTTCCAGATATGCTTATACACATCGCTTTCAGGTTGCTTTGCCAGGATACTCGTTCAGGTATCCCTGGTTATCCCGCAGGACATCCGCATGATTGTTTAGGAACAGAGTACGGCATATGTATGAATCCTGTCGACGTCACTTGGGTCTTAGAACTCGCATGGAACTTGCCTGAGGAAAGCCTTCGGACACCTTTGTGCTCCGTTGGGAATCCGCATGAGCCTGATGGAATTCGCGCGATGATTCAGGACATCCGTATGAATGTTTACGAATAAGGGAGGGCACCCTCGTGATTCTAGAGGAAACAGGCTTGCTTCCTGATGCGGTTAAATATCATGCTTCCAGGGGAGCCCGACGGTTCCTGACACATGTCTTGACATGTCTGCATAACTTAGCAGGAAACTCTCATGAATCCTTCTCGGAAATCCAGAGGACCTCTGTAGGATGCCAGGGAACATCACAGAATTATACTGGAAGCCTTGCGAGTCTCTGAGGGTGCCTTATGATCCCCGAGAATCCTTTTGTTCTCTTCGGGGTTCTCCATATTCCGCTGGATTCCCCGAGGCGCCCGAACGGTTTCGGACAGGTTTCCAACATTCTTCCAGTAGGTCCCGAGCTGCGTCCGAGGTGTCTTCAAGGATTCCGAGAAGTTGCCTGAGAGACGTGTCCCACGGATTTCCGATTGGCTTCTGAATGGTTCGTAAGAGTTTGCCTCGATGATTCTTCGATGTTGACAGGAGGCATTCGGCAGGCTTATTCCAAGGGTCCCGGAGATTCGCGAAAGGTTTCTTAGAGCTTTGCGTTGCCGTCGCGTGAGTTCGGCGGCGTGTGTGTGTGTGTGCGCGCGCGTGTGTGTGTGTGTGTGTGTGTGTGTGTGTGTGTGTGTGTGTGTGTGTGTGTGTGTGTGTGCGTGTGTGAGTGTGTGTGTGCGCGCGCGCGTGTGTGTGTGTGTGTGTGTGTGTTGTGTTTTACGTTGCAGTGTGTTCGCGCTGTTGTTGCATGTCCATCTTGCGTTTTCTGCAACAAAACCCTCACAACAGCTCGACACGAAAGAGCACATTCAGATGTACACGCCTGCGCGGAGCGTCTCCTGCCAGCTCGGCAGGCCGGCCGAGGGCTTGGCCCTGTGCTGAAGTTCTTTTTGAACATTCTGGACAGTACGGCTACTCGCGATGTCGTTTGGCAACCTGTCGAACATTCGTATCCTGCCGAAAATGGAGCGCCGCATAATGGCCGGGCGACCTGGTTCAACAGGATCAAACAACGCCGTGTCGTGAACTGTCTCAGCTGCTGCGAAGCCAAAATAGTCCAGATTGCCAACAGCTGGGCGGAACAACGCCGAAAGAGAGGGGGGATCAAGGCCTGCAGCAACTTTGAATAGTAATCCCAGTGCAGAAATATCCTGACGCATACATAACGGAGCAAGGTTATGTTCTCGCAGAGCTGTCTCTGCTGTGCGTCGTTTTCGTGTTTTGGGGCGTACGTTTCTTGGCGTTGTTGTCGGGTTGGTTGGTGCTGATGTTTGCGCTGCTCTTGCTTTCCCTATGGGCGCAGTGCGGAGCGTTGTTTAGAGAAAGGAAGGTAGCTGTCCATTGCGATGCATTGCATTGCACCGCAGTGTGTTTACTTTCGTCTGCGCTTCCATGTGCCACCAACCACCAGTGTCACCAGAACCGAAAGTACTTTCGGTCCGCGTAGCCCCACACGCCCGTCCAGATCCGATGCCCAGGCGAGATGCCGTTCGAGGTTCGTAGAGGCTTCCTGGAGCCATCCCTGAAGGACGAGGAGGACGTGGAGGAGGAGGAGGAGGAGGCGGAAGCCCTGCAGTCTATGAGTTCACACAGCAATACATGTAATGTGTGACGCAACATTGGCGGGGAGGCGCGTGGCACCTCCCTTGAAGTGTCGGCCAGGCGATTCGCTGTCCAGACCTTGAAC